ATGCGCAAAAAGCGACTTGGGGGGGGACTTCGGAGATATATTGGAGTTGTCCGAGTCTGGCTTGTCAGAGTTTGTGCACAACCCTCTTTCAAGTTCCCACCTTCGCAAGCGCACAGACCTAAGTGCCCGAGCAAGCGCTGCGCCTTTGGGTCTGCTTGCCAGGCCAAGTAAGCACAAAGGATGTCGTCCGCGCAGTATCTATATCCCTGACATGCACCAAACACCAGGAACGAGAAGGTTTCAGTGTGTGTGGGTGTGTAAAATGTGTTCAAGCCGAAACAGTGGAAGCAAAGCATTGCAAGCAAATCAAAGAAAAGTATGTTGATTGATCACTTGTGGCTGATGTTGGAATGTACAAGCAGGTTCTTTTATTCGATCAAGTGCTTAGAGTGGTGAAGCAAAGCAGATTATCCAGCAGTTCATTCCAAAGGAGAGCTTAGGGAGTGCCCATGACCCAATATTATCCACTCACTTGGGGACTCATTAATCATTCTAGCCTTGCTCTGTACTGGGGACATTGCATCCCCGTGCAGCGGGTGTGTTCTCCAGGCAAAGAAAGTCCACATCATACACACCTGCCGTACTTGAAAGTACGTACTTAATCTTGACATCTGATATATAAAAAGCCCTATACATTTTGTATAACCACTTGTAGCCTTATCTTTTTTTATTTTATCTTTATCGTTATACAACGAATCAGCCATGGTTTGCTAAAATGGGACCACTGCTTACATTTCTCCTAGGTTCTGTTTTTTTTAGACCATCATCTGTTGGCCATCTCATCTACTCTGGCTGGGCACGCTTCTTTCCAATTCTTTCCTGCGGAAAAAAAAACATACGTCCTCATACGTCTGGCAAAATCTTGCAAACATCTTTTGGGACATTTTGAGACATGCCTTAAGTCTTAAGTGCCTCCTTCTACCCAGAGACCTGGGCACACCGCTTGCAACTCACGGCTTCCCACCCGGGCACACCAGGCACACCGTGCCGCAAACCTCGCCTCCCGAAGCTGCGAAATGGACCAGCCGCGACCTGCCCGAGTGAGGCAGGTGGAGCTCGTGTGAAAAGCGGTCGATGTCAATGTGAATGAATACAATTGATCCAAAACGTCGTAAACAGCTGCGACCACAGGTTGCAGGTGGAGACTTTTGGAGACCCTTTGAGGATCCCGGCAGAAACGACTCTTGGTCACCTCACAGTCCTTCACAGAACGAAGACGCGGAACCCGGTGGCGTGAAAGCGGTTTCCTCGTGCCCCTTGTCCCGACTTCCGACGTGAGCTTGAAGGGCTTTTGAGATGTCTTGAGGCGAGCATAAAGGAACGTCCCTTCTCAGTTTCACTCCAAAGGTCACGTATCAGCCAAAATGGAGAGGACATGTTCCTTTGACATGAAAAAAACGAAGGTAAAACAAGGAAGTCCCAAAACTCCGCAGGCAAGCATCCTGGGGCACGTTTCGCCATGTCCCCTGGCCACATGGCACATCGTCCAAGGTCTAAGGGCTCTCGGAATTGAGAGTGACCTGGCAAAGGCCCCCCAAGATCCCCTCCCAAGTCACCCTTCTCACATCTTTCCACCCGCCGACGGGCCATTTCTTCGTCTCTCGCCTTCTGGAAGCACCGAAAAAAAGATAAAAAAAGGTCCTGGTCTCCGGTGTCCCGTTCTGATCCCCATCCTTTTGAAGAACCAAATGCCCAGCGCGTGGTTCGGATGCCTGGCAGCGCAGCAAAGCCCAGGTCAGGCAGTTTCTTTAATGGGAGTGTGAGCAAATGGTTTCACAATACACCCCATGATGCACAGCAACCAGTTGCAGGACAACGTTGTTGAGACCAATCACATCAGTTGCTTGACATCCGTGTGTAGATGAAATTGATGAACAATCATTTTAGATCTTGCTGCAGGTGGTCCGTGCAAACAATGGTCCAGTGCTTGAACCACGATTAGTTAATCCAGAAGAAAGGTTGTGTTTTTCATTGAAAACCAGTTCCTTCCTTGTGCAACGCATGTGTCTCAAGGAGACCTAATTGGGCACACTGGTCTCCGGCCCACACCCATCTTGGGACATCACGCGCGCCGAGAAGAATCTTTGGTGCTTCTGATGCGTCCTGATCCATGCCCGAGGAAGAGATCGCTCGATCAACCCAAAAGACTCGAACATTTGCAAACTTGATGCACTTGGGTCATGACATCACCGTGTCTAATTCAAACAGGAAAATATACATATCTTAGCACATTTTCATTATTGTTCTATTGTATGCAGCTGGAGAGGGGCAGGTGCCTATAAACTGTTCCAGCAGGAAAAACACTATCTCAAAGCAGTTGTTGTTCTCTCGGTGCTTCTGGAAACACCGGTTCCAGAATATGTCTGAAAGGTGCGGGGGACAGGAAGACCATGATTGTCATAGGGCCTGTCATAGGGACAAGAACCCCACCGACCCACGCACATCTACATGTCTTGGGCACTCGCAGGTGAACAGGAGGGGGATAGGACCAACAAAATCAAAACAAGCTATGTGAAGCAGGGGGTAGAGACGCATCGAAAACTACACGCGCCAGGACATTGACAGGATGCTTGCAGCCGCTTGCAACACAAAATCAAAAAGACTTAGGCGAGTGCGTGCAATATTTTGTGTGAGCGATGGGTGCCTGGGTGACCTTTAGATAATCTGTCGTGGTAGGCCCAGCGATTGGCAAAACTAGTGCAGGTTTCGTGGCGCTGGAGGAGGATTGGGGCCAGGGTGCAGCACCTCCCCATACCTCCCCCCCAGAGCGAACCAACCATCAAAAGGCATTAGAACTCAAAAGGTACCACAAAATGGATCACCATCGAAAACTACACACCCGATTGCCTCATCAATGAAGGGCACTCAAAAAGTGACGCAAGGACCAACGCAACCCGAGGCCAGCGGACCAGGACAAGGACCAGGAAAGGGACCGGGGGACCAAATGACTAGACCAAAGGGCCAAAGGACCAGGGGAGGACCAGGGGGCCTACTCAGGTTTACTATTTTTGATCATGTTCTCTTTTTTTGATCCTGTTCTCTTTTCTTTCGATCTAGATGCCAACACAGATATATACAGTATATACATGATTGCATGTGATCCGGCGAGGTCATGAGTCTTGAGACTCTTGACCCGTCTTGGGCTGACAATACCCGACATACATGAACTTGAAACATGTGAGCTGGTCAAACTGTAACGCTGCAAACAACAGAAAGGAACCTCAGAAACCTCCTCCTCTCCCAATGCTGAACCAGGACTGATAGACCCGGATAGACCCGAAGGCTAGAAGGATCTAGAAGGCGAACACATGCGAGAAACAAATACTGTCCTGTGGGTCAGTTACGTTAAAGCATGCCAAGATCCAATCGCACCAGTCAATGTTCTGATTTGGTCGAACTAATCGCAATGAAAAACACTCAACTGACAGAAACGCATGAACATCGGCGTGCATGCATTCACAAACAATCACGAAAAAGAACAAAGAAACGCGACTGGACGACCAAACTTTGCATTCAAAAGGTGGACAAAGTGCAAAGTGATCTGTTGTTTACTCCTCTGCCACACAGCTGCAATGGCAGAACCACAGGCAACCACGCAAGGCAGGGTGGAATGAGCCTTGGGAGTGCTTAGCTGAAGTCAGTGCATTGCATGGGCTCAACATCGGTTTAAATATATATATATATACATACACATCAACATATGCCCTTACGGTTTCCCCGAATTAGTGTTTCAAGTCAGATGTTGCGGAGAGGGTTGGCGTGGTCTGTCTGCCTTCCTCACGTCATCCCAGTCTTTCACCCGTTCTCCATTCATCCTCAGGCTTGGACCGGCCCAGGAGCACGCCTTGGCGCGGCGCAGGCCGACGGCACCACTGGTCCGACAAAGACAGGACCCATCGTCTGGACCGTTCCCGCCCCCCGACCTCTACCAAGAATCACTACGACTGGTCCAACATGACCATTGCTGGCTTAGCGACCCGCAACATCTCCCACAACCCTGTTTTTCCGTGCACCAAGCCTCTGGGATGTACGCCATGTGCACGAGGGCCATCCTAGCCCGCCCCAAAGCAACCGGGACTTTTGCGAGCTACCCAACTGATATGCTTGGCAAAAAACAAGAATGGCAATATACTCGTGCGAACAATGGATATCAATCATACTTACAGCAATCCAGGAATCTTCATTGGTTAAAGTTTGTATAAGGATCTCCCGGTCTCCAGCTGTTTGGATGTTTGAAGGTACGTCCGCCTGGAGTTGCCTGGAGCAACCCAAAGCTTATCTGAACAGCTTTGATCAGAACCCACCCTCTCCAAGTGTGGTCTGCCTTTGGAAGGCGCTGCGAGGCAAGAAGCCAAGGCCATGGCATCATTTCAATCAAGAATCATCTTTAGACGTTAGGAATATTTCGGAAGGATAACATCGCTTCAGTACCGGGTTGTGGAAACTGGGCGGACCCCCAAACAAAAAGCACGTCGGCCAAGCCCTCTGCATGCCCCGCCTACGAATTGCTCGTCCAGTGGGAACCACATCCCGATCATACTTTTGCCCTAAATTGTTGTTGTTCAGGTCATGTGAATGTTCAGCTGAAGCCTAAGCTAAGGTCTGGCACAACACAACAAACAAACCCGTGAGCATGTGTTTGTAACAAAAAGCCCAAATATGTTAGACATGTGACAACTGGGACATTTCCAAAAAACGAGCGTGCAAACCTACACACACACACACACCCCTACACAGACACACACACACACACCCAGCAGACAAATTCCGAGTCCCAAAACTCTGCATCTGGCTGCTTGTTTTGTTCTTGCAAGCATTAACATTCGAGAGCGCTCTCGTAGGTGAGACAAGTCTACAATCTGCTTGTCTTTCTCTCCAAGGCTCTGCAACCATCAGCCGGGATACTGGCATCCCTTGACAGGCTATGACCATAACATATTAATTATCATATCATATCTTATCTTATCTTTGACTTGTGAAGGATTGACTGATTGACTCTGCCATCGACATCTCAGGTGTCTGGACGAACCTATCCAATTTGCTTTGGATTGGGAGCCCTACTTTGGAACGCCCCAGCAGCGTTCGAAGCTACGAAGCGGCGTACGTTGGCGCCACCTGGCAGCGTCGACGCCACCGCGGTCTGCTCCGAAAGCAACAGGACTTCATCTGCATTTCCCATTGAGGCTCCCACTGTGATTCTGATACAACTGTCCACAACCATCCACAACCGATCCCAGCGTCCATCCAAAGGATAGAAAACCGATCCGAAGCGCATCTTTTTGGCGCCACCCCCACAGCGAAACGGGCAAACACCAGGTCACCACGTCGTGAGAAGCGACGACGACTCGACGCCCCGAAAAGATCCCCAAGGACTCGCGTCCTAACCACGGAGCGGTCGGGTGATCGCCTCAGAAATCCAGGAGCGGCGGCTCAGAGATGGGCATTTGTACAACCGCCTCGGCACCACGGTTGGCAGGCTGAAGATGGAAGGCACGGCTGGAGTCTTCAGAGTCCCAGGCAGGGCCGACGTCTTGGGGCTGGTTGAAGGCTCCATGAGAAGCTAAAGGGATGATCCAATGCATTGGCAGGAGGCCCTTCACAGGCCTTGGTTGGGGCATCTACGAGAATATACCTTCAACAGCTGGGCTGGGAGGAAGCCTGGGCTTAGCATGCTTAGAAGCAGTTCTGGTGATTCGGACCAGGCAATGGGAGTCGGCCATCTTGGAGTGCCCAGCAGTTGGAACTCCGATGCCCACGGGGCTCCCCACCGAGATCAACGGCACATGCGAGTTCTTGCTGGCCAAGAAGATTCGGACCTGGGAAGTGGAGCGGTCTTTGAGACGCTCTACCAAATTAGGTGTAGATATATTTCTTATGAACATTGAACCAAATTGTATTTCAAACATACATACATTTAAGTTTGCTAAACCGGTGAGGGTTTCAGGGGCTAAGATTTCACAGAATCATTCTCCCCCAAAGCGTGGCTGGGTCTTCGCAGGTCCGGCATGAGGACACAAAACGACAGCTACAGTAGGAATTAAGAATCACCATGACTCATCCTTCACTTAGCAGCTAATTTACAAGTTTCATCAAGTTTTTCCACCCGTTTTGTGATGAAACGAACACGTTTTCCTCCCGTTCTAACCCGGTCATGTCACTCCGTGTCACCCGCGCCGAGGCGGTGCCGCCGTTCTCGTTGATGCAGGTCACCGGCACCTCCACGAGGTAGACCTGCCAAGCTGCAAAAACGGAAGTCACCCGCATCAACCGAGCTGTTTGGAGGAAAAGTGACGGAAGCAAGGAGGTCCATGAAACAGTTTGATTGGAACAGCAAAGGCAGCCAAACTGCTAAACGACTCTGGCTCATGGGAGTTCGGTGAACTCTTGTTCGATCAAGTTCAAATGAATGGACCAAACCCCGCGGGCGCAACACCGCGACGAAACTGCCATGGATCACAGTGGATGTCTTGCTTTTAATTGACGCTGCAAACATCTTGCTTGGTTTGTGGCTCTGATTGGATGTCCTGATCAAACCAAACTAAGGCACCCCAGGCACCCCCTTTCTATTTGCCTGTCAGGGCAACGACCCACATACCGTGACCAGCACGCCTGCTGCGGGACGAGAATAGGCAGGTAGAAACACGGCCTTGGCTCACATTTTTGGAGCTCGGGGGTTCTTCTTCGAGCTTTGACAATCTTCACCACGATGTGGGCCGACATGGCACGACCTTCGTGCATCGAACCTGGACTGCTCGGCCCTCGCCCCGTTTTCCGGTTTCGCTTCCAGGCGCGAGCTTAGCTTCGGGCTTTGGTATCCGATAGAGATTGGGATTGGTGGTGCAATGCACTGGCACATCCGTCAGGGAGCTTGAACCTTAGGGATTTCTGGACGGCTTGGTCTCTCATGATATTGAACCTAATAGCACTTTGTTACTAATAGCTTCATATAGCTTCATATTATTAGTAGTAATGCACTTGTTACTGATAGCGATGCACTTGTTACGGCCAGATCTGTATGTTCGTTGTCTGTGGAACCTCGTGTTGCTTGCTCCAAGCACAACGCAAGCTGTCGGTTCCCTGGTCAAGGAAAGACATGATCACACTGCGAGGCTGCAAATAGCTGGTGCTGGATCGAAGGTCTACGACACCCAATGACACCCATACTCTTCTGTACTGATTCCTTGTGGGTAGAGTCTAGGACCATCTAGGACCAACATGGACCAACAACCTCATCCCCTTACCGCCAACTGCACCTCCAAACAAGATGCTAGTTGAAACTCTGTTGTGGGCTACCATTCACAACCATTGAGAGATCCCCCACTGGCACCGCTGGTGCTTTTGGGTGCTCGATCGTCAGCAGTCCTCGTTGTCTCTCCGACCGAGCCGAGCCCGCCGATGGGTGACCTCCGTCTGAGCCGACCGGGCCAGCATTTTGCACCCGCACCAGGATCTTGAACTGGGGGCCCATTCCTGCTGCGAGACTCCGAGACCGATGTATCCGACCAATTTGAAAATTGGACGTCCAACAATCTCTCTCTCTCTCTCTCTAATATATATACATATATTATGTATACAATGTATACCTGGACAACATGCAAAAACAGGTATCTTTGCCCCACCCTAACAGACTTATGATGCAAGTGATGCCGACACTTTTTCATCACAAACTCACCAAAAATAAACAAAAAACACCATGCACACCACTCACCAATGCCACATCTTCTCCCCACACCCCATAATCCGCCGACCCCGCCGGTTGAAGGGGGCGCACGCCAGAGAAGGCAACCGAGGGCATGCTGGAAGCGTTGCGGAAGGTCTGACAGCTTGAAGCGTTGCTGAAGGTCCGACAGCGGAAGACAGGGCGTGCGCGACGCTGCTTCACAGACTTGCTTTACGGGGTCCGAAAGCGACGTTAGAGATTCTGGGGGCGTACCGGGAAGCGCGCCTTCGGGCGATTTTTGGTCTCGAATTAGATTGTGGAAAGCTGTGGCGG